TTGGGGAAGATGGCTGGATGGTGCAGGGCGTGGCGAGGGTCTGTTGGGGACGGTGGCTGGATGGTGCAGGGCGTGGCGAGGGTCTGTTGGGGAAGGTGGCTGGATGTTGCAGGGCGTGGCGAGGGTGTGTTGGGGGAGGTGGCTGGATGGCGCAGGGCGTGGAGAAGGTCTGTTGGGGAAGGTGGCTAGATGGCGCAGGACGTGGCGAGGGTATGTTGGGGACGGTGGTTGGGTGGTGCAGGGCGTGGCGAGGGTGTTGGGGAAGGTGGCTGGATGGTGCCGGGCGTGGCGAGAGTGTGTTGGGGACGCTGGCTGGATGGTCCAGGGCGTGGCGAGGGGTGTTGAGAACGGTGTCTGGATGGGCTAGGCGTGGCGAGGGGTGTTGGGGACGATGGCTGGATGGAGCCAGGCTCGACTCTCGTCACGTCTCGGTGCTGTCCAGTCATCGACCTCGACTCTACTCTCGTCACGTCCCGGTGCTGTCCAGTCACCGTCCTCGACTCTACTCTCGTCACGTCCCGGTGCTGTCCAGTCACCCTCCTCGACCCTACTCTCGTCACGTCCCGGTGCTGTCCAGTCACCGTCCTCGACTCTACTCTCGTCACGTCCCGGTGCTGTCCAGTCACCGTCCCCGACCCCACTCTCGTCACGTCCCGGTGCTGTCCAGTCACCGTCCCCGACTCCACTTTCGTCACGTCCCGGTGCTGTCCAGTCACCGTCCTCGATTCTACTCTCGTTACGTACCGGTGCTGTCCAGTGACCGTCCCTGAATCCACTCTCATCACGTTCCGGTGCCGTCCAGTCACCGTCCCTGACTCCACTCTCGTCACGTCCCGGTGCTGTCCAGTCACTGTCCTCGACTCTACTCTCGTCACGTACCGGTGCTGTCCAGTCACCGTCCCCGAGAGGGTCTTTTCGGACCTCTCGCATCTCCATGCCCAGGAAGTGCTTGTAGTTGCGGGTCTTGGCAGATGCCATGATGGCCAAGGCGTCGTCTTCCAGGTCATGCCCGAAGATGCAGCTCTGCTGGTCAGGGCCCGTTGGATGATGGTGAAGGCCTCCACGAAAACTGGCCTGATCCGCCTACAGGACCAGTAACGGTGGGCCAGTGACAGGTCTCTGGACCCACAGGCAATGCTAGACTCTCGGGCTAAGGCCTGATGTGCTGGATGGGGAAGGGCATGCAGGGTCAGTAGTATCGCTACGTCGGCATTGTGCCCCGAGAAGGCGCATCTCCGGAGAGAAGACCAGCTGATGGAGATGGGGATGCTGACGTGGGGGAGCCACCGTCCCAGCAGCTGAGTGATGGGCAATGCAGCCAAGTGTGGACGCTCCAGCATGCGGCGGGCAGTGCGGGTTATTAGGCACTGGAAGGCGGTGGTCGTTCCGTGCACCACGATTGCGTCCGCCAGACTAGCAACGCGATAACGTCCCCGGGCGTTCTGGGTGACTAAGCGTGAGCAGAAGCTCCCCATATCAGCGATGTCCGTTAGGGCGCCACGTGTAGCGATGGTGATATTTGAAGTTGGCCTGGTCAGTTCACTAATGCGCCAGTCCAGCCATCTTGTGGGAGCCAGGAGCTCAGGGGGGGGGGGGGGGGGGGGGGGGGGGGGGGGGCGCAGGAAACGGCAGTCGCCCACAACTCGAAGAGCCTGGAGGAGTGCTGGTTGTAGGATCCGGTGGTTCAGCTCTAGGATCTCCGCAGCTGGTTCAAAGAGGTGAAGACTCCGACGACGCCGCGAAGGAAGCTAGGTGCCAGGAGTGGACGCAGGAGACAGCTACATCCCGCTCTCGGCGAGCCAAGAGTGAGCGTTGCGACCTCCACGCAGTGCTGCCTTGACGCCCTTGAGACACGACAGTCGGAGCTGAGTGACGACGTCGAGAAGTTCCATGCCTCCCATGGAGATCGGCCGCGCTAGGATGCTGCCGGGAAGCCATGAGGTTCGATCGTGCCCCCACACGAATCGAGCCAATCTTGCCTGCAGTCTTGTGATGGTGGTCTTTCTGGGCAGGTAGGCCTGGAGATGGCCGAGAGCACCAAGCTATTGGCCGCATTTGCTCGACCAGCAAGTGAGAGACCGCGGACAAAGGTAGACGGGCGTGGTTACCCTCTTAGCCTTAATATCCAGCCGGGCAGGAATCTGGGAGAGCTTCACTCCGCCATGCAGAGTAATGAAGGCTTCCCGATGTGTGTAAGCCCAGGAGGAATTTCCCAGCTCCATCATTTGCTGGACAAAGGAGGTCACCCGGCCGTAGGGCTTGAGCGCCGTGATCAGGTCAGCGTCCGTTACAAAGAACAGGACGTTGCCCAATGCGAAGCGCTTGACCTTCTTTCTCAGAGGAAAGGCCCGCAGGCTGGCTTCTTCGATGCCCAGGCCCTCTTCGACGAGCCTCTCAGCGAGCTGCGCGTTGGAGAAGCCGACCAGGATGTGTCCCTTCATCTTTGACAGCTGGTAGAAGCACCCTTTTCCCAGCTTCGCCTCCAGCGCCATGAAGTATTGCGCCTGGCTAAATTCTGGGGAGAATTCCATGTAGACACATTGGTCTACCTGACCGGCCGCAGACTTGGCTCTGAACTCCGCCTGTTTCTGCAGAGTCTTGGTGCACCTCTGCACTCGGGGCTTATTCGCAGAGGGGACAGCAGTGGGCTTGGTGGCTGGACGCGGCCCCTTTTGCTCTGCAGTTCTGCCGCCCGGGGGGGGGATCGGATTGGAGTTACACAGGTATGCGAGGTCTAGACACAGACCTAGTGATAGTAATGAAGAGAAAGAGAGAAACAAAATGAGTAGAAGGAAGTTCATGTTTTTATTTTTGAGGCGAATTTTCTGATTGCCCCAATAAAAATTTAAATAAATATTTGATATTTGCGGAAGAGCGATTGCTCGAAGCATATTATATATTTATAATTGTATGTATTTCTGATATCCTCAAAGCTTATGTCCATAGTTCATCTAAAATACCCTTTCCAAAAGTCTAGCATTAGTATCACTATAAAAGGAAAAACGAAAAATGCAATATAACAGCGGTATGGTAGATTAAACTGGTGAAACCGCTGGAAAGGTTCAACACTGATGAGCCAGGCCCTCCCATTAATTTTTCCATTGCAGTAAGGGAAGTAGAAATTGTTTAATTTTAAAAAGAATCATACGCGTCTATAATAGTTTCGAATTTTCATAACAGATGGCGTGCCAATGCATCAAAAATATTTAAAGTGTTTAGCGGCAAGATTTAACAACGGAACCAAGCTTATAAAAGGATTTTCACCCACGTCATAAGTTTGTTTAAAAAAACCAACTGGGGTAATAAAACAGATATTCTTCAATCAAAAAGAATAAATTAAAAGAGTAATTTTAAAATTGAACTTTTTATTTTTTAAATTATATAAATTTATACACATTTTTACTGCTTTGTAAATTTTATCATTAAAAAGAAATGTTTTTGTTTATTTTATATATTGTTTGTTTTTAATAGGTAATCCTTAAAAAAACGCGCATAGAGTTTATTATATTATATATATACAATGGTTTATTCGAACATTGTTTTTTTTTGGTAAAAATATATGAATATACTACTTATAAAATGAAAGAAACTCTTTATATATATAGGGGGAATATAAAAGTATATTTTGATAGAAATAGGATTGATAAAATAGGAAATTTAAGACATTTCTCTATATTAAACCAGGTTATATTTGACCACGATCTGGGAAACGACAATGTGGTCGAAGCTCTAGCAACACACGTTTGCTTGTCTGCTTTAATTAAAAAAAAAATAAAAGTTGTGTTCCCAGTAGGAAATAATTATGATATTTGGCCGGTCTGCTGAAAAGATTAGTCACCTCTAGTTTAAATCAACATATTCTAAATGTTGATAGAAGTTCCAAAAGTTAAAAAATGTAGAAGTGTGTGGCGTCATCTATGAATCAAATATTTAACTATTTTGAATGGTTTTTATTTCTCTCCCGAAGATGAAAAAAAAAATATTTCTCCCCGATATTTTTAAAATTAAAAAAATAGGAATTTCATATAAGAAACATTTAAAAAAAAATATATATATATATTTTGCGTTTTAATTCAACTTTTTTTTATATAGTTAATGAATTTTTATTTTAATATAAACGCGCGCGTTTTTTCATTTATAATTAATTTAAACTTAGAACTAAACTTTTTTAATTTTAAAAAAATACATATATACTTTTGAAATTATATTATAATTATTTGAAGATATATATATACTAGCCGAATGACCCGGGCAACGCTCGGGGTTTTACCCGATTAAATGCTTTTATTCAAATACTATTCGTTACAATTATAAATTGGCGCCGTGGATGTCATTATTGTATAATATATAAATGAGTTAAAAATTGTAAAAAAAAAAAAAAAAATGCATTGGCCGGGAATCGAACCCGGCCGCGTGGCAGGCGAGCATTCTACCACTGAACCACCGATGGTTATGAGAAATGGCCATATTTGGGTGATTATTCCATTCACAAAAGCAAACGGTGACAGAATTGATTAAGAAAGGGTAATGCCCGGGTTTTACCCGATTAAATGCTTTTATTCAAATACTATTCGTTACAATTATAAATTGGCGCCGTGGATGTCATTCTTGTGAAACGTCCCGCTCCAAACTTTGTGTCTGAGAAGCGATATTTTTATAAAGAGATGATCTGGCTTTGTGTCTTCTGCTCGAATGAATGTTTTTCTGTTAGAAATTTGTTCCTGCATACTAAAAATGAACTGGCTTCACCCGTGGTCTCTGCTTTTTGGAATATTTCCGGATATAATTTTGTATCTGATAATCAAATATGATACAGCAATATTGTCAACATCATTTTCTGAATAAAAAACAACTACTTTTTCCCAGAACCTGTCAATTTATTTTTCTTGGCTAAAAATCCGAAAAATATATTTTCCAGATTTTTCTCTATGTCCTGTTAAAACACGATTTACATGTCCATTAGGTCAGCTGATATTACCTCCCATCTCCACCGCTAGAGGCGCTGCTTGCGAGCGAAAGGGCAAACCCGTGGCGCCCGCGTGGCAGGCGAGCATTCTACCACTGAACCAAAAGCAAACGGTGACAGAATTAAGAAAGAATTGTGCATGACGCTGATAACTGTATACATTAATGATACAGCAATATTGTCATAATCATTTTCTGAATAAAAAACAATTACTTTTTTCCCAGAACCTGTCAATTTATTTTTCTTGACTAAAAATCCGAAAAATATATTTTCCAGATTTTTCTCTATGTCCTGTTAAAACACGTTTTACATGTCCATTAGGTCAGCTGATATTACCTCCCATCTTCACCGCTAGAGGCGCTGCTTGCGAGCGAAAGGGCAAATTTGCCACGCAATTTGCAAATAACTTGTATACATACTTGTATACTTGTGAAAAATTAGTACAAATGTAATATTGTACTGGGATAAGGTGCATAAATTAAGAAAAAGGCATCTCCTTATCGTGCAACTGAAAGTTGCTAATGGCTTGCGCCATCTATCGGAATAAATATCAACTATTCTCGTTGATTTTTAATTATTCCAGAATTGGCCAAATACCCATTCTTGATTAATCACAATTTAATCATAATTTTTCACATTGTGTAGCGTTCTCACACATTTCTGGCCTTAACTACCCGTTTCATGATTTTTCAGGATGCCTTAATGACCAATTTTTTTTTTTGGTCGTTGAGGTACAGCTTGCACCACGCTGATGAGGGCCAACTGCCCGAAACGCGTCCGTGGTTAGCTTTTCTTGATTAATCAAGAATGGGTATTTGGCCAATTCTGGAATAATTAAAAATCAACGAGAATAGTTGATATTTATTCCGATAGATGGCGCAAGCCATTAGCAACTTTCAGTTGCACGATAAGGAGATGCCTTTTTCTTACTTGTATACTTGTGTACATAGACCATAAATCTGTACATAGACAGGAAAAGCACATATATTTTAATAATATAAATGAGTTTTAAAAATTGTAAAAAAAAAAAAATGCATCGGCCGGGAATCGAACCCGCGTGGCAGGCGAGCATTCTACCACTGAACCAAAAGCAAACGGTGACAGAATTAAGAAAGAATGCATGACGCTGATAACTGTATATTAATATATATATACTAGCCGAATGACCCGGGCAACGCCCGGGTTTTACCCGATTAAATGTTTTTATTCAAATACTATTCGTTACAATTATAAATTGGCGCCGTGGATGTCACTCTTGTGAAACCTCCCGCTCCAAACTTTGTGTCTGAGAAGCGATATTTTTATAGAAAGATGATCTGGCTTTTGTTTTCTGCTCGAATGAATGTTTTTCTGTTAGAATTTTGTTCCTACGTACAAAATAATGAACTGGTTTCACCCGTGGTCTCTACTTTTTGGAATTTTTCTCGATATAATTTTGTATCTGATAATCAAACACGATACAGCAATATCGTCATCATCATTTTCTGACTAAAAATATATAGTTTTAATAATTGATTTATATATTTTTTAAAATAGCCTATCGTCTTCCCCGTATTTTTTTTTTTACCTATGTATGGAAATTTTGGTTTGAATTAGTGAACTACTGCGAATTTGTATACCGGACATACAAACAAACATACAAACATTCATTTATATATATATAGATATTAACTTTATGTTTACACTATTTTAATTTTATTTTAAACAATCAATCTTTTTTTTTTTTTTTTTAGAAATCTTTGGATTTTTTTGTATATGTATGCCAAACATATTTTAACATTATTATAATTTTGTTGTCCTGTTGTAATATGTTGAAATGAGACTATTTATTTTTAATATTATTTGTTAGATCCAAAAATAAAGGAAAACCTTTTTAGAGGTCAAAATTTGTAATTGGCGACAACGACACTATTCAGAAATATTGGACTCCACAAGAATAATTAATATTCCCCGTAAAAATAAGGTTTTGTTGGTCAAAATTTAGTCAGGTTTAAATAACGCAAACTTTAACAGTTAGATTTAGATTTAATTAAAAGTCAAATCGCACGAAGCAAAATCCTAGAATAAATATCAAAAATTAAAGAAGTCATATTTATAAAATTTAATATAAATACATTTGTGAGAATCACAAGTTCCAACATATATCAAATTGAAAAAAATATTAAACTAGGATCATTTCTTTTAAAATACCAAAATAAAATTAATATGATTTAAATTTTTAAAATGAGCTCCCCGCGGCAAAAATGGAAATACATGTAATAAGAAATAAATGAAAATACATACAATCTATATGCTTTTATTTTAGAATTATTATAGAATTTATATATTATATTTCATAAAATAATGCAAAATAAATATAAATAAAACAAAGACAAACCAGATCAGATCGTAAAATCAGGAAAATAAAAAGTATTAATTGTGAAATTGAAAATTGCTGATGGTTAACGCCAACTATCAGGATAGAAGAGAGAAGAGATAGATAGGATTTTTTTTTTTTTTGGAATTAAACATTTGTGCGAGTTTCATAATAATACAAATCTATAACATAGGAAAACATTGAAACGCGAATGTTTCTCTTCACAAATAAATCAAATTTCTACTGTCCTTACTGCGGTGAAAAAAATATTGGGATGACTTGGCTCATCAGTGGTGAACCCTCCCAGCGGTTTCGCCAATTTGATCTACCAGACCGCTTCTTTAGAGCTCTAATACTGTATTGGATCATCCTGTTTTTATATGCTGCACCGAACGGTAGAATCTTAGAAACGATATTTGAGCAAACTATGAACATAAGCTTTTAGGACAGTAGAATCTATATATATATATATATAAATGAATGTATGTGTGTCTGTCTGTCCTTTATATGCCTGACCAAACCACTCATTGGAACGCCATGAAACTTTGGGAAGTTATTTAGTATAGTACTGTTGGAAAAACTTGACAGTTTACGGTTTAAGTACCCGATTTATCAGCCTTATACAAAGCTATTATAATCAAATGTAAGCAACAATGAGATGGAACGGATCACTTACAGAATTTATAAAAATACAAGCTGGTGTTCTACAAGGTGAACCCCTGTCACCTTATCTATTTATCCTTCTTCTAAACGACTTGGTTTCTCTGTACGATGACGCTGATTTGCCAAGTTTTTATTTACCGAATTATGGAAATATACATCTCCTTCTGTTCGCAGACGACATCGTACTTCTCGGAGAATCCAAGATAAATTTACAAAATAAGATCAATGTACTCAGAAAATACTTCGAAGATAATTTTTTAACGCTGAACCAGAGCAAATCAAAGGTTATGGTGTTTAGAAATGGAGGTCGAAAGGCCCGATCGGATGTTTGGTTCTGGGGACAATTGCCTCTCACTATAACATCTAAATACACGTATCTGGGTTACCAGCTGACAGCGTCAAACTCAACTCAACAGGCGGCAAAGCATTTTAAAAACAAGGCGCTAAATGCTATTAATGCGGTCTGGGCAATATTGACTAAAACAAGAATCAATTCTATCAGATCCTCACTCAAGCTTCTAGACTCAATGGCTCTGTCAACCTTGCTCTACGCAGCTCCAATTTGGGCAAACAACCAAAAAAACTTGGTTGACAGGGTACAAGACGATTTCTTACGGAGACTTCTAAATTTACCCAGATATACTCCTGGTTTTATTCTACGTATGGAGTGCGGAAGAACGTCACTGGGAGTTACGGTGCTGAAACTTACACTCGGGTTCTGGCTTAGAATTCTAAAAATGAACAGCAGCCGACTCCCCCATATATGCTTAGCTCAACTATATGGGATATCAAGAAATAGAAATATATATATTGGACTTGCGGAAAGTTTGGCCAACATACTCAACTCAACAGGATTTTCTTGGTTAATTAACTGCAACGATGCAAGGATTATCCGGCAAGAAATACCTTTAATAACTAAAATTGCAATAGAACAATCTATTCAAAGTGACCAGGAAAAAATAGAGAATTCTAAATTCTACACACTATAAGTATTTACACAGTTCATTCCGAATTGAAAACTATTTACTTAGCAACTTTCCATTCCCAGTAAAACGCTATATCGCACAACAGAGAATACTATATTCGTTTTTCAAGGAAAACCATACAAACATTTTCAAAGAGGGTGATTAGATTTGTGATCTCTGCAAAGAAAATATGGAAACTGAACTATCTCATTATATCTATGAATGCCAAGATATATTAGTGAGGAGAGAAGGACATTCTTTTCAATGGTAGACACCAGCCAACTTAGGTCAATCCAAATGATGTTAACCAGTGCCCAAACAAGCAGATTAGTTGCTCAGGCCCTATATAATTTTTACAAGGCAGTAGGTGTAAAGAGGGAGAAAAGAGAACTTGGAAGCTATTGTTCTTACACCTCAGAATGATGACGAAACATCGAGGGGCCATCGTGTTGGTCGACGATGAGATTGCGGAGCTGGTAATATGGATGGCTGTGCTGGAGTAAACCTCCTTTTTTGTGTCTGGATGCTATATTTATGGCGAACTAAATAACTTAGTCCCTATTTCTGCTCCGCGCTTATGGAATTGAAGACTTGGGGAGATGGCGTCGACCTTTCATATTAAATCTTACTTTTCCTTATTACTAATAATTGTATATAGTTGTGGAACTACTGGTTTCCTGTGCTGCTCTTTTCCTGATATTGCACCTTGTACGGAGAATCTGTATAAGACTAATGTCTTAATAAAGGCTTTGTGTGTGTGTGTGTATATAGTACTGGGAAGGTTTCTAGCAAATAAAATTTTTGAAATAACTTTTCGTCTAAAAATAATCAAGATAAATATTCTAATTTATCTGTTATAATTCAACAATCTGCTCTAAATATTATCATGATGATACGATGATTTTGTAATGTAGAAAATTAGGAAAGACAAACTTCAGGATGACACGGCAATTTATTTGAGACAAGAATAATGATACAATTCCAAGGCAAGATACTATTCCTTTAACTTCCAATTACCGAGGGAACCAATTAATATTGGTTTTATTCAACTTATCGAGTATTTTTAAAGGGCCCGGGAAAAAATGTTCACTTTATCGAGAGATTCGTTAGACAAACCTTTACTC